CCTCCTCAACATTCCAAGGAACCGAGACTTCCCTGGGATGGAGACAAGGCCTGCTTGGCGGGGACCATCTCTGGGGCTGGGGTGCCCTCTGGCGGTTACAATTAGTAGGGATTTGATCAGCTGATGGGTCGCCCTGCTTCAGCCATCTGGTCCCCCTGCCTGGTAACACAGTCCTGCCTCTCCCTTAGGCCCAGAGGCAGCACCAAGCTGCGTGAGTCACAATCCCGTACATGTCCTGTTGCCCTCCCCAGCGAATTCAATTCTAACTATCCATTCTTGCCAGCAGGTCCGTCCGTCTGTACTTGGGGTCATTTGCCTTTTTACAGAAATCCACTCTGCCTCAGAGTGAGTGGTTAAGTAACTGGCCAACACATTGGAACCAAGGTCCGCCCCGGGCAGAAGTCTTAACCAAGGTATGGCCTTTCTCCTGCGTGACCACAGTCAGCTCCGGGCCCACACTTCTTTGCTGAAAGTCCCAGTGTGGGGGATTTGGGTTCGGGACATGCTAATTCTCACAAGGCGACCAGAATGGTGAATGTTCTCCAGATCATGGTGCATGGGGCCAGGGCAGGAACTGAAAGCCACGGACAGCTAGCTCATTTTCGGCTCCACAGGTGGAAGGAGCTTTTCGATGCTCAGAGGTGTTGGGAGGTGGAGCGGGCTGCTTCCCCGAGGGGGTGAGCGTCCTACTCCAGGAAGTGTCTAGCAGCCACCAGTCAGGGAGAAGGTCGAGTGTTGGCAGGCACCTTGAGTTAGAACCCCTTCCATTACACACTCTCCTTCCAACGTTTCCCCCAACTTGTCAGCCAGATGTATGATGTCCTCTCAGACCAGGGCAGGCTCTCCCCAAGATCAGTGGCAGAGCCAGGTTGGGTTTGTGGTCAGGGCAGCTTTCCAAGCCCCTGTGGTGCCCATGGCACTACTTCCTGTCCAGATAAAGAGGCCGACCTAGACTCCAGCCTGGCCCAGGGAGATCACTTGGACTGACAGACGGACAGCAGGGAGTTTCTTAACACCTTCACTGGCCTAATCCTGCCCCATGCCCTGGGGCTGAGCTAATCCGGAAGCTCAGAGACCAGCATGATCTCTGGTCACCCGGAGCCTGGCTCCAGAAACTCCTTACTCATCCTTCCAACTTCCTAAAGAGCTTCCCAGGTTTGTCCTCACGGCCAGAACTGGCGGGCGGATTCCCCTTGTCCATCCTTCCTGTTCTCGGGGTCGGAACCCTGGTTGAGGATGGCATGGCACCTGTGGACCTGCTCGCCCTTCGCTGCTGCTGCCGCCGAGTGTGGATGGGAAAGCCTCTCCGGAGGGCGGCTGGGGAGGATCTCATGCAGGTGGGAGCAGACACAGCCTGGGAGCAAGTCCTATACTGGACTGCTCAGGTGCCTGAGAGCAGGCAGCAACTGACCCGACCTGCCGGCCCAATAAGCAATCTGTCTGAAAGTGAGCGTCCACGGAGCTGTTGGTGGTGGCGGCTGCTGTGCTGTGAAGGCAGAACCAGGTGGCCGCACCACAAGACCACATGGCTCCCAAGGCTTGTTAGGAGCCGTCTTCTGATTGACGATGTGTGCGAACTATGACACAGATGCACACGAGACATGGGCAGCGAAGGTCTTTGTGCGGTTCCTAAGCCCATAGGAACGCATGATCAGCGCCCATCGGGAGGGGGACGACTAAATAGATGGCCCATGCCGCTCCCCAGCAACGAGCCAGGTGGCAGGTGGGTTAGGCACTGGGCTAATTGCAAGGTCGGTGGTTCAGGCTCAGCTGCTGCTCAGAGGGAGAAAGAGGAGGCTGGTTGCTTCCATCAGTTCTGTCCTGGAAAAGTTAGGAGGCAAAGGGCATTTATAGAGGTCTAAATGAAGGCATGTACATATGTAAATATATTTATATATGAGCATGTGGAAATAGATCTATGTGCATATATGTAAAGGTTTAGTATTAAGGTAGCAGAAGGACATTGGGCCTCCGCTCAAGTA